TCTTAAGACACTAATTATTTTAAGTCATTGGGAGATAGTTAATTAGCAAGCATAGCTTTTACCTTGAGAAGCATTATTACTAGAAACACTAAACAAAAACACAAAATATTCATAAAACCAGATGTCCTTTTCTTAGGTTTCATACCAAAGGACAGATAAAAATTTGAATATAAGAAAAAAAATGCATTAACACAATAGAATAAGATGTATGTTTTTTTTTTAAATCTGACTTCTAAACAGAAAAAGCCTATCCATACCATTACAAATTACATTAAAATGATTACATTAAAATTATATAATTGACAGATATAATGTTTATCATAAAATTTTGAAATATAAGAAGCAAATGTCAGATTTGTTATTTATAGCAAATTTATAGATCAAAGTTGCTTTATATATGTAAAAACGCATTTCAAATCAATAAGAGGACAGGAAAATAGATCTAAGGCAGAATAAATTCAGAGACCAAAAAAATGAAAAACAAAACAGGCTGAAATTAGTAATTAATGAAATAAAAATTCCACAAACAAAAACTAACTGATGTTAGTAAACAGAACAAAGTGAGCACATTTAATAATTAGTCCTAACTATAATTCTACTTATGTGCCTAAGACCTCAGACTGTCATAAAATCTGATAATAAAAAATGCCATTATATGCAAATATTAATAGCAAGTCATTGTTAGGAACTGAAAAGGTGTATAAACTTGCATGGATTTGCAAAATTCAGGACAATTATTCCTTTCCCATTAAACTGATAACCATAATAAATTTAATTTCTTTACTTCAAGTTCAAGAAATGAGTATAATATGCCTTTCTGAGCAGTTTATTTAGTTAACATTTCCTAATTCCACTTGTAAGTACTTTACTTCTTCCTAAATACATTAAAGATTAACTGCTGATACTCTAAATAAATTTTGTATTTTTATTAATTGGGTTTTCCGCTCATTGATTTGAATAGTAACTGTTTCTTTTTTTTTCCTTTTCTGGTACTGGGGATATGAAACCCATGCTAGGTATACACCCTAGCACTGAGCTGCATCCCCCGTCTTTTTTACTTTTTATGATTTCTGAGGCAGAATATCGATAAGTTTCCGAGGCTGGACTAAAACTTGTCTTTCTCCTGCTTCAGCCCCATGAACCTCTGCGCCTAGTCAGTGTTATCTACAGACTGGCAGAAGGGAAACTGTGTCAGATCTTGCATCAGTGTTTCCTGTGCATTATCTTACATGCAGTCTCACAATAACTTCCTAAGTGTTCTAATCATTTTAAATCAGAAAGTTGAGGCTTACAGATTCAATAACATGTAATAGGCCTATCAAGAGGTTAAGCTTATATCTTGTCATAGAGCTCTGTCTGAAGCCAAAGTTTGAATGTTTCTAGTAAGGGCACTGATATAAAATATCAGTAATGATTTTATTATTGCTTTTAAAATAAGTTGAAGTGTTTGTGGTATTATATGTGAAAAAAAGGCAATTTAATAAGTGACTAGTATAAAAAAAGATTTTGGTAAAAATGAATAGCATAAGCTTGGATTTTCCACTTCATCTTTGTGTACCTCTGGGTAACAGATTTCAGCTTTTAACTTGCTTTTCTGGTATTATCAGATGACTAGATGACCTTCCGTGTAGGAACCATTATCAAAATATTGACATTGATGAGGCAACGGAGCCAACACAACAGACGGCCAGTCAATCAGAAATGACACCAGTTCTAATGAACTGCAGAAATATTAGAACTGCTATAATAAACTAAGCAAATGATGTTTTTCAATATGACCATTTCATTTAATTACAATTGGACCTATAGAAGTCTTTGTGTATAGAAATACTGTAAACCATTATTTCACCATATTATATTTGTGTATATGGTAAATTCAATTAACATTTTTAAATTTCATACTTATGATCTGTTACTGATTGTTATATTAAATTAACTGAATTTCCCAAATAGTGATGTATCAAATATTATTTTCAGCAGTGTTTACAGGAATTTAAAATAGAGTCAAACTCTCAAACCCCCAAAACTAAGTAATAGTTGTAGAAGTGTATTCAATCATTATTGCATAAATTTTTATGACATATAAATATTTTAAAGAGAACATCTTTTTTAAACTATTTTAAGGTGAATTGCAAAACATTAGCCATTTCAGAGCAAAATGTGCCTTATCGTTTAAAAGGGGGAAGAAAAGGACTGAATAAAATTTCCAGAAACATTATTTACTGGTGTTCAGTTTTTGTTTCCTCATTCTTGCCTCAAAGAACAGAGGAAATCAAATACAAATGTTAGATGCCGCTTTTGAAAAGCACACATGAAGCTAATAAAATTTACAGCATGAACTTTGAACTTATAACTCAATAAAATGAAATAATCATAATACATAAGAACGAATTAAACCCTACAAGAATCAATTAAACCCTACAAGAATAAATTAAATCCTACAAGAATGAATTGAACCCTGCAAGAATCCTACAGCAGTTTCTCATTAACTATTGGTTTCCAAAATGTAAGCTATTAGGAAGGCTAATGTAAATTTTAATGCAAAATTAATATGAAGATAAAATATATCCTTGCTTTTAGAAACAATTTACAAGGAATATGTATTTTTAATGTACCAAACAACTCTAAGTTAAATATGATTACACCTGAAATAACAGTGAGCTAGAGATTGCTTAGAGGTTCTAATTCTAGAATTTATTTGGTAAAGGTCATATAACTTCTTTGGATCTGTTTTATATCATCTTTTAGAGACAGAATGTATGTATCACAGTCACTTAGACTTTAGCTTATTTAGATGCTTACATTGCAATATATAGAGCTCTCTGAGCCAAATCTCTATGTAATGTATTTCTTATGGAATAAAATATAGAAATACAGGTAAAATGCCTGGTATAATAATGAACATGTAACTAAATACTCAATAGCTATAATAATTATATAAAGAATGGAGGTAAAGTTTATTAACTTTATTAAATGATCGCTATGGTATTATTCAGATAAAATTTCTCTGATTAAAAACTACATTTTTATTTGTACAGAAATATCAACCATTTTGTCAGTAATTTAAGGAAGGAGAATTTTCAGATTTTTCTGTAACAATTGACCAAATTTAGGAACTAAGACAGTAGAAAGAACCACCTGCCTTTATAATCCCAATATAAAAATTAATCATTCCATAGAGACATGATAGTAACCTGTTTATTAAAAATCAAACAGCAAAGGACAGACTTGATAAAACTACTTTGAAATTTACTTAAGGGTACATGTGAATGATTCCTTAGCTCCTGCAAAATGGGACAAGGTGGAAAAGGGTGGGGGGCGGAAATTTGTGATTCTCAGATGGTATTATTTAGATGGACTGGAGATTGAATCAGAGGAGTCTATCTCCACTTCATAAAGAGAATTCCACTTCCAACTATGGACAGATAAATTTTCGGCAGGAGCTTTACATTATCAGGACAAGAAATCTCATCTTTAAGTAACATGAAAAGGAGAAATGGGGAGTTTCTTCCCTTAGCCCTATCAGAAGGATGCTACAGGTATAGCTCCATTTGCTTCAACTCAAGCTTCTCTATATCTTTCTTTCTGTGCTGTGGGGCTTGAACTGATCTTGCTTGAGCCAATCATCCAAGATGAGGCTACTTCCAGACCATCAATTCAACTAAATTCCTATCTTAAAATTCTGTTTTGAAAGGACTGGACACACCATCAACAGAGTAAACACCTGACAAGATTAAGTTCACATAGGTAAGTAAGAATCCCTGCTGTGCCAGCTCTTCTAGCCTCTTTATACCTTTCCCTCACAGAAACTTCAGAATTTAGGGTGTGTTCAAAAGATTTGGGAAGAGATTGGCAACCACTCTATTGCTATAGTCATCCCACAAACCAAATTTTCTTCTCCTCAAATTTGGGTTAATATGCTTTTATTTCTTCTGGCTTTGTTTCCAAGTTTCTGTTCCTCCATGCCCACCCTTTCCTTAGATGGCAAAGAGGTATTACAAAGTCACTGCATCATTAAGCCTGAAAATTCTTCAAATTAAAATTCTACAAATGTGCTCAACATGTAAATTAACCATTGTGAAGATATTGAAAAAAAGGATATATCAATGAGAATTTTGATATTGGTATATTCAGAAAAAAATGAAGTTATAATATTTTGGGGGAAATATCTCTGTTCTGAGGATCTTCTCTTGATATTTTTAAAACACAGAGATAAGGCAATAATATTTGGCCTCATTTATTTGGAAATTAGCATCATTTTGGAATGGATGAGGAAAGAGGGAAAAGCCCCAAATATGACTTTGATCTAAGGACCACTTGTTATTAATTGCCTGGCATAGAAAGAAATAGTATAATTTTAGAATAAAATGGCTTTGAATATCACATTCAGTGACTTATATTTATATTTGCAGAAGAATTTCAAAAATACTCATGTAGTCTTGTTTAACAAAAGTAAGTCAATCCAATAGTATCAAAATAAATACATGATAAAGTATTATTTCTATTAATATATGTTATAGAATGTATGTTTTAACAGTAGTATATTAATAACACATGATGATGTCCATAGTATAACATATAAAAATGGATCAATAAATGCTTCTCTGATAATTAATAGTTCTTTAAAAAGAAAACAAAATTATCCAGTTTTGGCAGAGATTTTTCAGGCTAGCTGATTAATTTAAGGAAAATTACAGTAATTATTTTAGTGGCCTGCTTCCCATTATTTCAGTGGCCTGTTTCCAGTAGATGACCACTGGAAAGCAATTGTATGTAAAATTCTCAGAGCATTCCAGTTATGTTTTAAGTAGTATGTGTGAAACATAACCATATTTTATGACTTTTACATATCACAGCAGAGACTATATCTCCCAATGAATCATGTCCCATAATGTGTCTGATTTAAAATGCTATTTGCAAATTAAAGTCAATTATTTTTATATACATAATATGATATTAAAAACTCTTTGTCTTGTTTGTGTATTTTAAAATATACTTACGGGTTATCCAAAAGCAGTACTATGGGATTAAGTTCTTTCTTTGGTCTATAATATGCCCTGAGAGGAACAATAAAATTATACAATCCATTTCCAGCTGTTTCAGCTGCAACTATAATTAGTTTATTTTTGAATCCATAGGCTTTTGCGTCCTCATAGTAGTTATGCTGGCAACTCTAGAGAAGAAAAATTATACAAAGAAATGCCATTTTTAAACTCCACTAAAATTTGGTAAAATAATTTAGGATATCTGGAAATGTAAAATTAATTAATTAAATCCTCAATTTGTAACAAATTTAAAAATAGTTACATTTGTCTGTGCCCAGTTCTCCAACTTGACTTAGGAAACAAAAGTGTGCATGGGCAAGGTAAATAGGTAAATAGGTAGCTTGCTGTTGAAAGAGGAGCAATGTGTGTGTGCTCAAGTCCTACTATTATGTGAAACTTGCTGCTGCTAAGTGACATCTGGGAACTAATACTGAAACATTACCTACCTATAACTTTCATTTCCAAAAATATAGCAATATTATAATTAAATAACCTTAAGGATATTTCCAGTACTGAACACCTGAAGTGACAGGCTAAAAAAATGAAATTAAATAAAACAGAAAATGAAATAAAACAAAACAACCAAAATCCCTCCTAAATACCTAGCTGAGCTTTCAAGATAATGATGCAAATACTCAAAATAATAATAATACCAATAAAACCAACAAACCGGAAGCACATATTACCAAAGCTCATTTTTAGCTCAAGGGCACTTCACTATTTCCTGAGTCTAGAATTTGCTGGAGTTAACATTACTAAACCAAGACTATTTTAAACTTAAATGATCTTTATAGAAAACTGCTTTGGTGTTCTGTCCTTTCACTTCTTTACCGATGTACTTGGAGCTGTTTTTATTTGTTTGGGTTCAGATTAGTTCTCTATGGATTCATCACATCTGGAATATTCTTTGCCATTATTCCTTAAGAAAAAAAAATCATAAAACACTGGCGGAAGTGAAACACCAAGAATAAACAGAAACAATAGACAAGATAATTAGACCACAAAGATTATAGTTTTTGCTGTTATTATGTTCAGAATATAAACTATGCATGGTTAAGAGGTTTAAAGAAATAAAAGAAAGAACTTAAAATATGAACAAAATAGGCTATTTCAAATATTCAAGGCAGATGTTAAAAATAATATTGCATCTATTTCTATATATTCTCTTAAACTGTGCTACTGAAGGGATCAACTGCAGGACTGAGTTGAAGAGATTATCCAAAAGGCAAGACCCAGAAGGAAAGATATAGCAAGTAAGATGGAAAAATTAAAAGACCTGGAAGACCGTGTGAGAATAGGAAACAAACATTTAATCAGAATAACTGACAAGGAGATAAGAATCAGAAAGTAGCATTATTCAAGTAAATGCTTTCTTTCTTTGTCATTTTTGTGATACAGTTTCGTTTATTAATTCATATTACATTTTAAGTTCTTCCAACTTCCTGGTCAGTTTTAAGAAAATTGTCTACAGTAAAGTTCACAAAGCATAGGGTTATGACTGAGGATTTTCTATAAGTGAAAAAACAAACAAACAAAAAAAAATAAACCTCCAATCCTCAGGAAACTCAGTGAATCCCACTTCCAACAGAGAGAAATACATAGTCATCACATCATAATGAAAGTCTGGAACTACCAAGAAAATGAGATCTTAAGATGAGTCACAGGGGGGGAAAAGGACCTACCCATAAGGAACAACAATTTGAATGACAGCTGACTTTTCAACAGTGCAAGAGGCATGACAGTCATTAAATAAACTTCTTGAAGTGCTGAGAAAAAAACTGATAGTCTGGAATTGAACACCAAACAAGATGGTCTTTCAAGAAGGAGGGCAAAATAAATACATTTCAAGGGAAATCATAACTGAAACATTTGACAACAAAAATCTATTTAAATAGAAATTCTAATGGCTGCAATCTACACAGCAGAAAAATGAATCCAGGAAAAAAATCTGAAGTATAAGAAAGAATGAAGAGAAAAGAAAATGGTAAAGAACAAGATCATTAAGTCTTCAACAGACACTTGGAGAGTTACTAATTTAAGTAGATGGGAAGCCATATTAAGAAATAAGATCACTCAGAAGTCACAGAAGGAGAATAGTAACAGGAGATAGTTGATGTAGATCATTGAGAACAATGATATTTATGAAATAAATGAAGAAAAAAAAATGACAACATTGCTTACGGAGATATAGAAGCAGCTCAATTATTAAGGTAAATCACAGAGAGAACAGAAAATTTAGTGTTTATAAGTCTTAAAGACATCAGCCTTACAACACTGGAACAGTGTGAGCCAAACTGATCCCAACTCATACTCTTTGTAGAACAGTGGAGTCAACTGCATAACTCCATTCCATAATGTCAAAGTGGGCACCTATTTACCAGAAAAGTCCACTTCCAACCAGCCTCATACTACCCACATAACCATTAATTCTAGATACCACCAGCCAATTAGCAACACTGAAAACTTTGTGTTATGAATATAGTGAAGAGACAGGGAATAGTCTTTGACTTTAAAACATCCTCTATTGCTCCCCTATCAATTATCATCCCTGAAAGCTTAGCCTTCTGTTGGATCAGTTCCCTTGGAGATGAATCATTTCTAATCTTTGGCCTCCTGATACCATATACTTTTTAACTGTATATCAGAAAGAAGTGAATGCCACCAGAAGTAAGTCCAGGTTTCATGGTGCCTGAAATATATGCTATTTTAGGAATTTTCTTTAAGTAAACAACAAAAATGCTACAGATAAAACAAAAATTATAGGAAAAATTAATTGTTGACAGGATTAATGCAGGTAAATCATCCTAAAATTTAGGATTTATTGATGTTACCAGAAATACACAGCTGGTCAGAAATATCAAATGCTGCATAAAATAGAGATTGTAAAAAATATGAAATGAAATAAAGCCTTGAGAGTTAGAATTATCCATTTCAATAGGCCCATGTGAATAGGAGCAATGGCAAAGATTTACAAAGCAACTTCAGAGAGATAATGTCAGGAATTTTCTAATATTCTCTTAATCTTCCTTCTAAAGAATGGGAGCAGCAGCCAACATTTATAAAGTTTATCATATGAATAAATAATTACAATATCAACAAAGTGAATATAGCACTTATTCAATTATTGACTTTTTGTGTTATTATATTAAATACCTTCAAATTTATGTAATCCTTACAAAAGCCCTATAAAGTTCATATTAAAGTCATACTAATTTTATAGACAAGGAAACTAAAATTTAGTGTGAAGTTAGTTGCTTATGTTGTGCAACTTTGTAAGTAGAGAGCTGGAATTTTCACACCAACTCCAAAATTTAGAGTAAAATAAATCCTTAAATTAGTATCATGCTTGAATCTCTAGGAGACATGTAAGGTTATCCATTTTATCTGTTTTCTTATTTTTTAGGAGGAAAAATTCATATAGATCCAACTCAATAATTGTATTGTGAAAAAGATCAAAAATGCTAACATTCTCTGAATTTTACTATCTTGTACAGCTTCTCTACATAATCCTGGCAGGAACTGAAAAGTACATAAAAATTTGGGGAAAAGAGACCTTAGGCAAAACAATTAGTTTCCAGTCCAGTCACAAATGCATTTTTATGTCTACCATGTTAAGATCATCTTATGTCAAGAGATGCCACATGGAAATTTGATGCAAAAATGTAAATAAATAAAGCACATTTGGCCAATGTGATTTCAGGAGTCTTTTAAAAGTTGAGAGAGTTCATGGGTTTGATATTTAGGCACTTCTGTTTTCCCCTTTGAAAACATAGCTGACTAATCCATTTTGTTAATTTAGCAGAAGCATGGAGCATTTGGGTAAATTTCAGTAAACATAAAAAATAAAATTAACCACTTTAATTAAATTCACTTTGAAAAAAAAAAACCCTTTAAACACATTTTAGTCAAAATACTATACAAATTGTTTTAATATACGCAATTGCAAATTTCTTTTATTATCAGAGAAAACAACAGCAAAAAATAATGCTCACCTTGTCTAACCTTAAGCAGCAAAATGGCACTTTTTCCTGAAGAAGATGACAAAAAGTGGGTGAACTTCCTATATATGGAGAGTAGGGTGGGTAGCCTTTAGCATAGCTGCAAAAAATATGAGACATTACCTATAGACACAAAATATGACATTTCTTATGGACAAGTCAAGCTAAGTTGATAAATTCTGAATATGTTCCCATGTTTTGATGAAGTTAGATTTTGTAACTCTTTATGTTGCAATTATATTTTGACATAGTTTAGAATGGGTGTTGGCAAATTATGGCCCAAGGATCAAGTCTTGGTTACTGTTACTACAAGATTTTGAGATTTAAGGGAGATTTTTATATTTTTAATTGTTGGGAAAAATTCAAAAGAATATTTTATATCATGCAAAAATTATATGAAGTTAAAATTCTGTGTCCATAAAATAGCTTTTTTTAACCCATGTATTCTCATTAATGTATTTATTGGGTTAGGGTATCATCTGTGCTTCAACTATAGAAACAAGTAGTTGCAAAAAGAATCATAAAGCTTCAGCTATTTACTAGTTGTTTCTATCTAGAAAAGGTTCTCAACCTTCAGCTCAGAAGATGTAGATACATTTTTAACAACCAGGAATGTTAACATTTACAAAATGTGTTTAATGCAAAATAAATTATTATGTGTCACTCTTTCAATATTTATCAGCCATAGCTGCATTACCAAAAGGAAGCAAGTGATTGAGTTAATTAGTTAAAAACAGAGATTTTGCTGGAAATGTACTTGAAATATTATCAAAGACATTTAGGTTGTTTGCTGACTTTTAAAAAACAGCCACCTGCATATTTTGGCTACACTGATTAAAAAAAATGGGACTTCTAAAAAGTAGCAACATAAATGACGAGGAAATAAAAGAAAACTCAGTGAAAGCAATGTGCTTTTAAAGGGAAGCTATTGATTTTACTGAATTTACCTGGGAAGCCATGCATGTGAGACCTAACTGAAACTGTTTTCCTGACATCATTGGTTCAGAAGTCAAACAGAGCACATTCTGCAATTTAGAAGTTTGTAATGTCCACTATTATTTCAATTTCTCTCATTTCTCTAGATATAAAAACTTTCTACTTCTCAATATTTTCAAAAACATCAAGAATTTCAGTTACCCTTCAAAATGCTATTTGTTCAAAGATATTGATTGTGAAGCCTGTGCCTTGCTTCCATCTTCGAACCCACAAATATATCTGAGTCCAAGGACCATTAATTTCTTTGAAAGTAGATTTAGTTTTGTGGATGCTTCAAAGTTTCTTATAATCAATGTAAAAGAAAAATTTGGAAGATTAAAAAACAGAGATCTTTCTAAGATTCAAATATATTTCAGTTTATCTTCATTCATGTCAACATTAAATGAATTTATATGAAAGCTGGGAAATATGTTAGGTGATGATGTTACCAATACCACTCATACCAGCAAAACTAATAAGAACAATGATTACTCTTTATTTGTTGCTTGTGGAGCAGAAAACACTATACTAAGCATTTTTCTCCATTATCTCAATTAATTTTCATATAATGCTATGAGGCAGTAATTATACATAGTATACAGGCAAAAAAAAAAAAACACAGGCCATATTATTTAATCCATCTCTGTACCTGGAGAGTAAGGTGGGTAGCCTTTAGCTTGTGTCTTGAAAATCTATAGCCACAGCACCTGAAACATCAGTATAAAGTGGAATTGCCATAGCAAACAAAGTCTTATAGACTCCATAGTAAAGGTGTGGAACACTATGATTTCTATTTTGCTGTGGCAATATAATATGTGGAATAATATAGCTAAACAGATTCTACTGTAGGCTACAATATAGATAGATACTGTAACATTATGGAAGCTTGGAAAAGGAGAGAATCCTTTTATTCATAAATTTAAAATATTATTGCTCTCTATTGAATGAAAAAGAATGCTAAAAGTGAGATAAGGAAGAGAAGTATAATGGAGGAAGCTGCTATTACACATAATTAAATAACTGATAGAACTTCAAAATGGATGTGGAATAAAAAAAAAAAAAAATGATTGTCACAATTTGGCTATTTAGTGTCCCCGAAAGGTCATGTGTTTAAGACTTGGTTCCCAGTGTAGCTGTGTTCAGAGGTGAGGCTTTTAGGAAATGATTGGATCACAGGCTTTAACCTCATCAGTAAATTAATCCATTGATTTGATATTTCCTCCTGTAACATATATTAGGTACTTAGATCAGTGTAATGTAATACTAACTAACACATTATAATAAAAAATCCAACCATGGAAATGCACTTTATAGTCTAGGAATATAAACGTTTTTAACAGATACAGTGTATTTTAGAGAAAAATGAAATTGAAAAATATATTTTAAAGTCAGAAACATGAGGGCTTAGCATGCTTGGTAGTCCAGTAAGATAGTGACTAATACAGGGGTGACTTGGTAGAGCCCCGAAGGAATGATTCTAGAATGGTCACAAGGTGAGAACATCAGCTCCTTACTTATTGGTAAGGTATCTAAGGACAATATTTAAGGTCATTAACACACACACACACACACAAAAACAATTTTCCACCTCAGAACATCTAAACATACTCTAAATTTGAAGAAATTTCTTCATCTGGTGCAGTTTCATCTTCTGATTGGTCACTCAGAAGATCACATGTTTGAATTGATGATGTATCTGCAACCTCTAAAACAGGAGCAATGCTAGGTCTTCTTAATTCTTTGCTTCCCTCTACAGGAAGAGACAGGGTAGGACCACTTGCTGATCTACAGCTTGTGTCTTGCAAATCTATAGCCACAGTACCTGAAACACCAAAAACATATAAAGGCATGTGTCACATACAGGACACACACTGATCATTTAATCATGAAAATCAATGAGATGTAATTAGCATTATCAAGATATGTAATCTTGAGTTCCAAAAACTAACTTTTTTTCCTCATATAAATGTTTCCCTGGATAAGAAATCTTATACTTTTATAAATGTGTATGTGATGTTTTCGATGTGATTAGTCCTCAAAAGACTTATGCATTGGCAACTTGGTCTCAAGTGTGGTGAGGTGAGAGGTGATGGGACTTTTGAGAGGTGGATCCCAGGGGGGAGAATGCTACATGGCCGAAGAACTCAGATGTTCCAGAATCTGACAAGAAGTAATGTTATAGCCATCGAAAATGGTAGGCACATTTCCTCTCTCCAATTTTTAGCAGTGTAAGCAGAGGAGTAATGTAAAATACAATCTATATATTATAGGACAGAGGGAAATTTTTCGGGAGGTAATGATATAAAGTTATTCATTAAGCAAGTGAATGAATTTGACTTATTTAAATGATATAGAAATAAAGGAAATCCATAAAAGTATAACTGACATCTTAATATTGTGAGCTTAGATTTATACTTTATACATTTACTCTCTAGAGATAATCATGCCATCTACTTCTGAAAGAAAAGTGAATTCATCATTCAAAAACTTTTCAAGACCCTCTGTCCAGTGACAAAAATGAGATCTTCATTGAACTTTTCCTCCCTTATTTCTGCTTAGAAGTAACAGACATAGCTCCCTTTATGTAACCTAATCACTATACCTGCATTGAGGATTAAATTTCTGCTAAATTCCCAAGGAATTGGGTGACTCCATGTTACTGCAGTCACTTCTTTATCATTTTTCTGTCTAACTTATGGATTCTCCTGTTAGTCACTACTTAGATATTCTGCAAACACTGACATCTGGTTCCAGGATTGGCACTAGGATGTGATCATAAGAAAGAATTAAGTGGAGAGGCAATTAGTTACAGAAATGAACTCTTTGAAGGTTCCTGTCCTCTCCCTAAGATCTTTCCCTCAACCCTCTTAAAGGGGTTAATTGTCTTCTTAAGTTGAGTAAATAGGCTCAGTGTTGTCACCTTAAGACCATTTTCTATTGATCTGTTGTGAATATCCCAACTTTCAATTATATGACTTCAGATTATGTGATCCTCTCTTTGTATTATTTTAATTGATCATTGTCCCTAGACTATATGTTTTTTAACGATTCTGGTGAATTTTTGCGATATTGTTCGTTTTAGTTTGCCAAAACAAAATACTTCATACTGTGTGTCTTATTTGTTAGTTCCGGAGACCAAAAGTTCATGATCAAGGTGTTTATAGGGATGTTCTTTCTGAGGATGCTCTTTCTGAGGATGCTCTTTCTGAGGACTATGAGGCAAGGTATTGTTCCAGACCTTATTTCTCGATTTACTGGTGGCCACTTTCCCTTTATATCTTTACTTCATCTTTCTTCTGTGCCTATCTGCACCCAAATTTCCTCATTCTACTCATCATGTGGATTTAGTATTAACCCTAATGATCTCATTTTTAATTAATTTCCTCTGTAAAAACACCATGTTCAAATAAGATTGCATTCTGAAGCACCTGGGGTTAGAATTCAAACAGAAATTTGGGGAGACGCAATGTATCCCATAACAACATTCTTGCCTCATATAGTATTTTTAAAACATAAATTGATGAATCTTCCTCCACCCTTACCTCTTAGTTTCTTGCATCCACTGAATAAATTGCTTTTCACCTTATCACAACCTTTCCTTTTCATAGACATATTTACATGCTTTACAAAAGGCTGCATTTATTCATTTCATGTATTCATCCTCTGAACACCACTATTTCATGTTTTTCAGCTTAGTCTCACTGATTTCCAAACCACAGATACAATCTTATGCTACTGGAACTTTGATTTATCAATGATGCCAACTTTTCACTGTTTCTCCCATTACCTTAATATTCTCTCTCCTTATCCACCTTAAATTCCATGCTTAAACATTATGACTATTTTTTTTTTTTTTGCATTTACCTTTGGCTCCAGATACATTTATGTCCCATGGCACTCCTTCAACAAAACTGAGCCTTGCTTAAATTCAACTTTTTATGTTCTTGTGTTTACGTAGCTAAGAATGCCTGGGTAGTTCAGCTACTGTGTCACATATTAGTCTCTATACATCATCTGTCCTCATTCTTGGCAATTTCATTATGTATGTCCCTCGAATACTCTAGACTTGGTTTCTTGTCCTCTACTCCAATAATGGGTATTTCTTCTACCATTTATTAACCATTCACTCTCATGGTCATACTCTATACCTTGTAATTACTACTCACTATACATAGTCCCTATTTATGGAATCTAACACCCTGACACATGCATTTTCCTCATTTTTTTCCAGGTCCCTACCATTGGATTCCCACTAGAATTATAATCTATTAATCTATTCTTTCAGTCTCTTTTAACCTACAGATATCTTTTCATTTCCTTACCTAGTTTTGTTCCATGGCTTATCATTATATACACTCTTACATATACCCAACCCTTGTTTCTTTGCCTTTCTCAATTCCACATACTTTCACCACCAGGTACCAAAATATTTCTTGGTTCTTCTTTATGGAATATCTTTTAAGAGTTGTCTAGATCTAGGGTTTGTATTTGTCTCCTACCTTCTGTTTTTTCCTACTCCAGTCTGGTTTTCTCTACCACTACTTCATTGAAAGAGCTCTTCTTTGTCCATTTTATTTTTGCAGTCATTTAATTCAAAACTCTTGAAGTGCATCACACTCCCCTTTTTTTCATAGTTCAGTCCCAATTCTCTAAGGAATCCTAATTACTGGTAACTTTGATTAAATGCAAATTTTTCTCTTTCATATCATTTCCAGTTGAAAACACTCAGATCTTTGCCTCAAAACATCTATTCTCAACAATAGCCACAGTGACTGTACTGAAATAAGCTTTAGCATAGGCAATATCAGAAAACTGATCAGCTAAAAATTTTTCATGATCCCACTATACCCAGAAGAGATACTGCAATCCTTCCAGTAACTCAGAGAGTCCAACATGATCTGTCCTTTTACTGTGCCTCAATTAGAAGGGTTCTACTATTCCTGCAGAACTCAGGGTACCATTATAAGCCTTTTGTGCTAGCTGCTGTCTCTGCCCCAAGTGATCTTCTTCTAAGTGTCCAGGGGACTAATACCCTATTTACTTCAAATAATTTCTCAAATATCACCTTCATAATGAGAGTTACTGTCCACTTTATTTAGAAACATAGTCCTTACTGACTTCATAATCCCCTTTACTAGTTTCAATTTCTTCTTTTTCTATTAGTTATCCCCTTCTAACATACTAAATAATTTACTTTCATTTTTATGTAGTGTTTATTACCTGTCTTCCCCATTATAGAATGTAAGCTCTATGAGCTAGATTTTTGTCTGTTGACTATTTTACTTATTGTAAATACTTACGAGAGTTCTTGGTACACATTAAGTATTCAATAAATACATAAAGAGGAGACAAATACATAAAAAGGAGAAAGACAGCACACAAGGGAGAGGAGAGGAGAGGAGAGGAGAGGAGAGGAGGGAGAGGGGGAGAGAGAGAGAGAGAGACTGACTTTTGGTGAAAAAAATGAAGTTAGGTAATAAGGATGAATTAACCCATCTTGTTCAATCATCCCAGTTATAGAATGCCTATAAAAAACTTAAGTTAAGCAAAAAATATTATACTATAATAAATTTGAAATAATTATTATGTTTTTAGAGGACTATGCTTTTAAGAAAAATGTAGGTGAATGAATAAAGCATTTGGAAATATATGTACATGTATTCCATAAATAATGAAAATATATATAAAGGATATATAAGCTCTAGATTATGATTTCCAACCTATCTTAATGCCATTTATTAACCATTCACTCTCATGGTCATACTCTAGACCTTGTAATTATTACTCACTATACATATTTCAATTTCTTGAAATATTCTCAGAATTGAAAACATGGGACATCATGGGCTAAATAATGAAGACCTAAAGAAGAAATAAGAGACTGGGTCGACAGCATAGGTGGCACACTAGGATTCATTAAAAGGAAAGAGGCATTTTCCTTGTAACAAAAACTAAATATTTACAGGTTTTTAGGTGGTTTGGTGGCAAAAATATTAGGGAAATTCCTACATCATTGCTTTTTTTTTCATGTATAATTATCAGAGTTAAATGGGAGATAGAAAGACAGTTTTGAGAAAAATGGAGACTATTAGAAATGCCCTCTGAAGAAAGTTGGATAGATAATTTAAAATAGAAATATAGTAGTCAGGTACTTATGGTACAATCAGAAATACAAATAAATTGTTAATTATATTTTAATAATATCTTACTTTTTTACTAAATTAACAGTATAGAAATTTTCTTCTGTATATGTAATTATACCTAGTTTACAATATTCCATACCTGTTTTAAATTTAGCTTTGAAATTAAATTTTAAAAATCAGAGTATATGTACAATTATTTTTTTTATAGAAACTAAGAGGAATTTGAAACTAGTTTGTACTTACCCATGCTGGCAATTATGCTATGTACAGGTAACCTGGAAGGTCCATGATAAAATGATCTTGGTACATTGCTATTTCTCTGCTGGTCTTGGTTCTTAAATGCTGAATTCTCTTCTTTGGTAATATTAATATAAAAACATATGTCTGTAGCATTCATAATGTAACGAGGACCTGGATTCAACAAAATGTTTTTATTGTCTTCCCTCCTAACACCAATCAAGCAGACACCAAACCTTAATTTGAAAAAAAAAATAAATAAAAATAAAAGAGTTTAAGAATTATAATTCAACAAGTCTTTTTTAATCTTACATATGTAAGAAAATTACTAAAATATTATAAACAGGAAAATATTAAAATTTCAAATCATAAAATGATGAAAGCTGAAGTAAACTGTAAAAGTGTAAGATGCACATTTTTATAGAAAAATATGTCATTATAAAATTGTTTAGTTGATTATGACTAATATATATATCATGTACATAGTAGAAGTTAATATAAAACATTAGAGTGAATATCATACGATAAACATGATGTTGTTCTATAATATAAGTACTATGGTCAAAAGTATAAACAAAAGAGTTTTAAAATTATTGGTGTAAGGAAAGAAAGAAATCTAGAAGACATTATATGAAAGTCCTTATTTTAGTACTATTTCTAATATATTTGATTAAATTTGAATTTTAGAAAGAAACATTTGCCTTTAATATATGTGCAGATTAACTGGGAAAAATAAAAATTTTGAATGTAATAGCCTGTTATTTATATTTATTTTTTAGTTGTAGTTGACACAATACCTCTATTTTATTTATTTATTTTTTATGTGGTGCTGAGGATCAAACCCAGGGCCTCACATGTATGAGGCAAGCGCTTTACCACTGAGCCACAACCCCAGACCATAACAGACTATTTAAGCATTTTTTAAACATCTTTTTTCGGTTATGTTCCAATAAAAATTGTCCTGAATATTTTTATTTCAACATATGCTATAGTTGTATAAAATAAATCAAATTTTAAAATATTTTTATATAGAAGAATGTGTGTATATATATACACACACATTATGTACATGTGAATCATATTGAGAAATGGGAATATGTTATATATTAATTAGTGGGATATGCTAGATATATTATAAATTCCTGAAGTATATCATAGTAATATATTTTAATATGGTTACTGTACTGTTTTCATGATATACATATCTTTGTATTTCTTCAGCAAATATTTTTCTCAGAAATAATAATAATAATATCCCGTGTTTAGATTGTAATGCATTTTTACTTCTTTTTTATCTTATTTCTCTGGCCAAAGCAAGTGGTATCATCATTTTTTTCAATTCTATAGTTTTTATGTATTAATATATCTGTGTTTGATTTTCTAATCAAAACTTGAAAACTCAGTTCTGTAAGAAATTTTATCTCATGTACTTGTGAACTCTTAATGGACTAAATTATTTTAAATGAGAGTTTAAAAAGTTGTTTAGGTATTCCTCCTAAACTATAATTACTCTTGACAACATTAACATGTAGAGACCACACAGTAGCCAGAGTTCAAATGTTGCAATAAATGTCAAAAATTCCACAGTACTTGAAACTTATGAACACCAATATTCACTATATTTTTAGAAAACTATTTTTTATTGCTATGAAAGTATTGTTTCCTTCCTACCAAAACCTCACAAGAAAAAACAAAACCTATAGAACAATATCCTTGAGAAACAGAGATGCAAAAATCTTCAATAAACTACTTCCAAACCAAATTCAACAGCATCTTCATATCTTATGATATGATCAAGTCAGTTTCAGTTCAATGATGAGAACATGGTTCAACATACACAAATTAATAAACAATAGAGTACAGAAAGAGAATCAAGGATAAAAATCATATTAACAACTTAATCGATAAAGGAAAAGCCTTTGATAAAAATTCAACATTCCATCTTGATAAAAGCCTTGAATATATTAGGAGTAGAAGGATCATATCTCAACATAATAGGCTATCTATAAGGAAATGATAGCCAACATCATAATAAATAGGGAAATAGTAAAATCACTTCCTCTAAAATCAGGAACAAGACAAGGTTGTTCTGTCTCACCACTCTTACTGAATACAGTATTTGACATTTTAGCTAGAGCCAATAAGAGAGAAATAAAATGGATACAAATAGGAAAGGAGGAATTCAAATTAACTCTATCTGCAGATGACATGATTCTCTTTAAAGAAACACTCAAAGACTCCATCAAAAGACTCTTAGAACTGATTTTAAAACCATCATTATTTAGCAGGATTCAAATACAACTAAGATCAATAGCATTTCTATAGACCTATAGAGTTCACTGAGAAAGAAATCAGGAAAGCAATACAATTCACAATTCACACGAACCTGAAAATAAATTTTAACAATATCCAGGAATAAATTTAATGAAGGAGGTGAAAGACCTCTATGATGAAAATTATAAAACAAAGAAAAAAGAAACTAAAGAAAGCAATAGAAGATGGAAAGGCATCCCATGTGTGTGGCTTGAGAGAATCCAAACACTTTACAGATTCAGTATAATTCCCATCAAAATATTGATGATGTTCTTCACAGAACTAGATAAAATAATCCTAAAATTCATTTGAAATCACAAAAGTTTCCAAATAGCTAAAGTCATCCTGAGCAAAAAGTCAATGCTATAGGCATCACGATACTTAATTTCAAAATATACTACAGAACCATAATAACAAAAACGTTATCATATTAGCCTAAAAGCAAGAAAAAAGAATGATAGAATAGGATACAGGAAACAGAAATAAATCCAGAAAGAGACCTCTAACTAATTATCGACAAAGGAATCAATAACACACTGGAGAAAAGACAATCAAATAATACTGGAGAGACTGGATATTCACAGGTAGAAGTTTAAAAATATACTCTGTCTTTCACACTGTACGAAAATGAACTTAAGTTGGGCCAAAGATCTCAATCTAAGATATGAAAGTTTAAAACTTTAGGGGAAAACACTTTAAGATATGGTCATAGGCAACAATTTCCTGAATAGGGCTTCAATAGCTCAGGATATAAAATTGAGAGTTAACTTATGAGATTACATCAAATCAAAAAACTTCTGTAAAGCAAGATAATTCAGTCAAGACATTCTATAGAATGAGAGAAAAAAACCCTGCCAGTTATTCATCTTACAGAGGGTTAATATCAAGAATATACAAAGAACTCAAAAAACAAAACACAAAAGAACAAGTAATCCAATCAAAAAGTGTGCAAATGAACTGAATAGGTGCTTCTCCAAAAACAGAAGCACAAATGACCAATAAATATATGAAAAAAAAATGCTCAACATCTTTAGTCAGTAGGAAAATGAAAATCAAAACTATTTTGGAAAGGGACCAGGGGTAGAAAGGAAAGGAGGCAATGGAAGTACTGAGGACTGAAATGGAACAAATTATATTCCATAAAAGTATGATTATGTTAAAATGAACCTTACTATGGAATATAACTAAAATGCACTTATGAAACATTAAAAAAATACTACACTGACATTGGATCTCATCCCAGTCGGAGTGGCTATTATCAAAAATACTAAAAATAACCAATTCTGGCAAGGACATGTCGAAAAGGAACTCTTACACTCTGTTGGTGAACATAGAAATTAGTAAACCTACTATGGAAAACAGAATACAAATTACTTAAGAAAGTAAAAATAGAACTACCATATAATCCAGCTATAGCAGGCCTGAAAATTTATCTAAAGAAACTGAAGTCAGCATGCAAAAGAGATAAATGTATACCTGCATTTATTATGTCACTATTCACAATAGCCAAAATATGAAATCAGCCTAAGTGCTAATAATCAGATGAATAGATAAAGAAAATATGGTATATGTATGTGCAATGGCATACTACTGAGCCATAAAAGATAATGAAGTCATGTCATTTGCAGGATGAAATAAGAGAGCATTATCTTAAGCATAATAAGCCAGACAAAAAAGACAAGTTATGCATGTTTTCTGTAACATGTGGAAAGTTAATAAATAAGTAGATAGATAAATAAATAAATATGACCCAGAAGTAGAAGTGGAAATGGACTATAAAAAGGGAGCAGGGAGAGGACCGAAGGCCAGAGAGGATAGAGGGGAGGGTAAACATGATCAAAGCATCACATATGCAGGTATGCACGTATGGAATTGTCACAGTGAGACCCATCAATTTGTACAATTAATATGCATTAATAAACGTAAGTAATTTTTAAAAAATAGTACTATTCCTTGATTGATGGATACTTAAGTTCCACTCTGGAAGCAAAAACATACTTTTTGTGTGCATGGAAAGAGGCATATGTAAAACTCTTTCCTTCGTATTCAGCAAAAAATGTACTTTCTTCCAAAACAATGTGGTAAACTTCATTCCCAGAGCATCTACCGTACATCTTCTGCCACTGTTCTGGCGATTGCTGGCCTTCTCTGCAACACAAACACACACACATACACACACACAAAGAGAAAAATAATGAATGTGGTTAAAAAAAAAAAAAACAGTTGTTGCTATACAACTGTTTCCCAACTGGAAGAGCTGGCAAGCACAATGAAAAGAGGTACTGTGAGGTTGCCTGGCCTCTAAGTGATGACATTACACAGGCTAGTCTCTCCCAAAAAAATCTGCAATTGGCACTATACATTCATATGCTTGAGAAATGATAGGTTTCTAGAAAGTGAGAGTTTTACAAGAGGCAGTTAATAAAAACATTTACTCAGACCATAAATCAGTAAGATATAGCATTAGACTTTTAGTGTTTATGAATATGCTGTCATGTACATTCCAACTATAATGTTTGTTTAATTGTCTCATAAAGTGGCTAATTTTATTCCACAATACTTGCTTGGCTCTTGCAGGTATTGATTTTGCTTTCTATTTAAAATTAAAATTTTCAGTTTATCAATTAATTTTATTGAAAACATACTTAGAATAATCTCTGTCTATAATATTGCAATGGCTTTCTTCCAATTTTATAGCAGTCAAGAATGTGATAAAAGAAAGAAGAGTCTCTACAGTGGATTCAATGTTTGTGTCTCCCTCAAAACACATGTAATGAAACATTAAATGTAGATGGCATCTGGAGTTGGATTCTTCGGGAGGTAACAGGATTTTAAGAGTGTGCCCCTGGTCAATGGGATTAGTGCCATCATTGGTTCCAAAGAACTAATTAGCCATCTTTCACTATGTGAGAATACAAAAAGAAGTCGGAAGTGTACAGTTCAGAAGAGAGTCCTTATCAGAACCTGACTGCATTATTACAGGACATCAGACTTCTATGCTCTAGAACTATGAGAAATAAATTTCTTTTGTTTATAAACCATCCAGCCTCTGATAATATTTAATAGCAGCCTGAATGGCTAAGTCATTCTCTGAAAAAGATTCCAGAAGTGTTTTTAAAAATCAATTTATCACAAAAATACAATCTGTTTTGTTCTAGGTTGTTTTACATTGGACTACCTCAGTGGCTTTAGAAATTTTTTTAAAAATAGTACATTTCCTTGATTGATGGATACTTAAAAATTCAATTTATGACAAATTTATAATAAATATACAAGTAGGACCTTTCCCCCATTTTTAATACTAATTTACTCTTACTGAATAAAGCTTATGAACTCTACCAGCACAAGTAAGGGCACATCAAGCAGCAAAATATAAATATCAAAAAAATCAAAATATTCCATCACAATCTGTATAGGTTCTTAATGGATGGAAGCAGATACGTAATACAATATTTAGAATTTAAAAAGTTACTTGAAGTTCAGAATACTGTCTAAATGATTATTAGGGAAAGACTTATCAACCACTTCAAACTGTCAATCAATTAAAAGTATATATATTCAAGGTATGTTTCACTTGTGTTTAATTTCTTAGGAGTCAGAAGTGTGGGCCCTGGAATCTATTTGATTGATTTGTATTTAACTTTGCAAGCTTCAGTGAGCTATTTAACTTCTTAATGATTCTTTATCTCTTTAGTGAAAATGTGTCAGCCTTATTTTGTTACATAAAATAACACCAAAAAATCACTTAGGAGGTATTAAGATCATAAAAATCACTGTGTAAGTGTTAGCTGCCATATTCTCCTCATTTCTCAATTTTGGAATCACTTTCGACATAGCTAGTCAACCTAATAAACAATATTGCACTTAAAACTTCTACATAGTTTTCCACAATGTTACTAGTATTTAGAAACATGAAAAAAAAAAAAAACAAGAAGTCACTTTTTACTATTGCTTTTATATAGCTAACTACTACTTCCTAAGAATGATTAGCCCTGTTGGAGAAACTTTCCCTTTGGCAAACAAAAATAAAATTGTCTTGTTGTGTATCACAGTGCAATTGGCAATATAGTTCTTGGCAAAGATAAAAACCCATCTTATGGTCTGTAAATGTAAGAGAAGGTGTTGGTAATTCATGAGGATTTGTTTGAGATCCAAAAAGCAGCAAGGGGTCAACTAATTACAATGCAAGGGCACTTATTAAAAGCTATTCAAGACAATCATAAATCTAATTCCAGAGGCTGAAATGGGAACACCACATGGCAACTTGACAGAACAGAAAGGATAGGAGTCTGACAAGAACAAATCAGATGAATTTCTTAAATCTCTCACTTTGTTGTCTTACTGTTTTGCATAGATGCTTTTCACTAAGCAATACTAGTTTCTTAAAGATTCTTATATATAACTTTCAGCTCCTTGGAAATATGCAAACTTTTTCTCTTTTAAGCTAAGATTATTTGCTTGAAAAATGTTCTACTCTAGCAATTCCATGTAACACTGAAGACTGTGTTCATTTTCTATTCATGAATTTCTACATAAAACATTTATTGAGTGATTGTGAAGTGCCAAAAAAGATTTTAGATTCAAATTATATAGCAGTTAAAAAGTGCAAAAATCCTGTCTCTCATGGATTTGCTAGTGGGGGAACACTAACAATAAATGAAAGAAATCAGTACATTGTTTTACGTGTCGGAAGTGATAATCATTGGGGAGAAAGAAAAATAAAAGCAAAGCAGGAACTTTAGAGGGAAGTTTAATGATGTTTTCAACCAAGTTAGTTTCTGGGTGCATTTCGAAGTTGAAGCTGAAGGAATTTTTGTTAGAAGAAAAAACATATAACAAACTTAAGTACCTTTATCCATAATCTATAAATAGATAAACAAAAATTCATATAATAAATAGTGAAAATGCAAATAGTGCTTACAAAACATCATGAATAAATCTTAAGTCTAAAAATATTAAGTATGAAGTGTCTACATTTTCACCAATGTGTTAGCTATGTTCTAGAGAAGAGAGAAGTCAATTCAGAATGTTAAGTACGTGAACATTTGTAATGATATTCTTATATCTTTTCAATTTTGAAATATTTTATGATAAATAAAAAAAAAACTGTCAAAAAAGAAGAAAGCAGGACTGGTAGTGGTGATTTAAGCTTTTTATATGTCTATTTTTCAGAGTCACCTTATAATTTTCAAGGCAGTATTATATGCTCTGTCATACAAAGCCCTCTACCACTTGCAAATATTTTAGGAGAAAATTTTATTTAGGTAGAAAGTAATAATTTTTCTCTCTTCCTATGATTATGACTACTCTATCAAATTTCACTTTTCCACGAATCTAGAGTAATTAAATTTATTGAATAATCTATTTTTAATTAACTGACTTAAAATAACTTCTTTATCAAACACTGAATTCCTTAGTATATATGCCTCTATTGGGACTTTCTGGGCTGTCAAATTGATTTGCCTCTGTTCTTTTACTAATGTGACACTAATTTAATTATTTTAACTATAAAATATTAAAAATATATTCATATATATATATATATATATATATATATATATATATGTATATGTATGGTATTTCCATATCATAATAATTCTTTAAAATCTCCTTGCTAGTCTGGTTTTTCCATTTGTGCATATGAACTTAAAATAAGCTCATTTACTTCAAAAGTAATGTTATTTCCATGCTTATTTGGATGGTCTTAACTTCATAAATCTGAGTGAAATTGACATCTACAAGATATGAACACATATCTTAGTTAATTTGCATGTTGATTGCTATTTCTGCCATAGCCTGTCATCCAGTGCCAATCCTCAGCAAAATATAAGTACCAGATCTTCTGAGCCCCATTGCTTATTTTGTTCTGTGGGATGTCCAGTGACAAGAACATTTTCTAGAACACAGCAAATGTTCGGAAATATTTGTTTAATGGAAGAATTTAATCCTCCTGGAAATCTATGAGATACAGATGCTCCTAGACTTATGATGGGGTTATGTCCCAATAGACATCTTGTAAGTGGAAATACTATCAAGTCAAAAATGCATGTCAGACATCTTACCTACAAAAACATCATAGCTTAGCAACAGAATAAGTACACTGTAGAGTACTAGCTGTTTTTCCTGATCATGAGGCTTTCTGGGAATTGTGTTTCTGGGGCACTGCCCAGCATCCTGAAACAGTGTCCAGAGATCACATATCAAAAGTATAGGGAAAGACTGACATTCAAAATGTTAAGTTGATTTCTACTGAATGCATATTTCTTTCACACCATCAGAAATCTGAAAGTCCTAAGTTGAAACACTATAAGTCAAGACTGCTTGTATATTCTATTATTATTCCCATTTCAAAGATAAAGTAACTGGGGATTAATGGCTTCAATGACCTTGCCAGAAAAGGTAGATCAAAAAACTCAACTCAGTTACTCTGGCTAAACTATCTAAACTTTGTTCAAAAGCTTCAGTTCTGAGTAGTCCAATATTTTTCAGGCTACTAAGAAATTAGAAATCAACTTTTTTTTCTAACTTTTTTTAAGTAATGGAGGACATTTTAGGTACTGTAGATTTTCAAAATACCTTCATTTATTCAATTTACCATTCTACCATAATTTGCCATTTAAAAAATTGCTTTTTTGTATCTTGATAGATTTAATTCAAAATTTGTTTTTGAATAAAGGAAATAATTGCATAAATGAATAGGAAATATATTGTCAAAGTTCTTACACAGAGAATCCTTTAATTTTTTTTTTTTTAAGCATCTGAAGCAGGGGTAACACAGAGGCCATAGCTGTTATCCTGGTATCCCAAAAGGCAAGGTGTTCTGCCTTTTTGGTATGTCCTAGGAATCCTTTGTCCTCTTGTCTTTTCCCCCTTATCTTTCTCCTTCCTGCAGTTAGTGACTAGGCCCAGGAATACTCAATGGGAGGGCCAAAAGGTGAGAAACAGTTGGGCTAAAGGGGGAATGGCAGGATGGAGTAGCCAAAAACACATTAACAACCTTATAGCTCCCTGTAGGGAGGGTAAATTCCTGGGACAGGTTACCTTGGCAACAGGTTAGAGCAGGAGCGGGTTCTTGATAAGGGTGGTGGAAGGGCTCTGAAGGAATTGACATTTCAGTCCCTCAGGGGACAGTATCCAACTTCCCAGAC